GGGGGGGGGGGGGGGGGCACGGGGTGGCACGGGCGGGGGCGCGGGCGGGCGCTAATAATGACACTGACTCATCTCTCCCCCCGGCGTCAATGATGGCACCTGCTGATGTGTGGTGACCACGGCGAGATCGGTGTTCTTGCTCAGCTCCGGCAGCGTGCCGCCAGGAGCGGAGCGGCACCACGGAAGCGGGTATACCACACTGGCGGCGGGTATGGTCCTCAGCTCGGCGGCCGCCATCGCCTCGAGTTGCTCGCGCTGCTTGATCCACAGGCGCAGCTGGGAGGCTTCGATGCCGGGGTGGGCGCGGCACGTCGGCTTGATGCGGCAGGACTCCGGCCGCTGCATCGCCTTGTGTCCAAAGTCGGAGTCACGTCAGACGAGGGGCGGGCGGTTGGGGAGGTGGGTGGGGGTCACAGGTCGCGGGAGCCTGCCGGGCGGGGGCGGCGGATTTAGGGGAGAGGGGTGCCGACGGCGTGGGGTGCCGGGTGTGTGCGCCGGCGCACCTCTCGCACGACGGAGAGTTTGTAGGAGGCGGAGTAGTAGCGCCGGTCCAAGCGTTGGACGGCCGCACGCCGTGTCGGGATGGGAGCATCGCAGTGTATCGCCGCCGAAGGCACAGGCACTGCGAGTGCTGTCGCCACCTTCCCCGGCGCCGCTCCCACCGCCGCCGAGAATATAGCGCCGGTCGTGTCCAAGCACTCCCTGCACACGCCACAGTTCTCTCTCGGCAAAGAGGCGCTGCATTCTCGGCAGCGCTTACGTCGAATTTCCACTCGCGGAAGCATATCAGCTTTGCGTACGGCCCCCGCCTGCGAGCGCTACAGGGCCTGTGGTGGTGCGAGGGCTTACCAGCGCTGCCGCGACAGCGGGGGAGCGGTCAATCCCCGCCGCGAACTGGTTCCGCGACAGCGTCTGTTCATGCGAAAAACGCTCTCTCTCACTCTCTCTCTCTCTCTCTCTCTCTCTCTCTCTCTCTCTCTCTCTCTCTCTCTCTCTCTCTCTCTCTCTCTCTCTCTCTCTCTCTCTCTCTCTCTCTCGCTCGCTCGCTCGCTCGCTCTCTC